CCAGTTTGTAGAGGACACTTCGGAGTATATGTCTCAACAAAGCTTTCAGTTCCCGGATTTGTAGTTTTTGATTAAAAAAATTTTAAAGTTTTTCGGGTTTTCTGCCCTATTTAAAATTTCAATAAAAACTTTAGATTTTGATATGAGGAGTTGATTCTGGCGTAGATCGATAGAGAACATTGACTTGTACAAGGAGAAAAACTTTGCATCGTTCTCAAATGAAGTTTGGCGGAGAAATTTAACTTTCACCTTCCCGAGGAAATTTTAGAGCTAAAAGTATTTTGAAAAAGGCCTTACGGCTAGTTTCGCTCGAAGCAAGCATATTGAAATAAAACTCTGGATACAAAAGTTGTTCAGAATCGAATTCCGGAGTCCCTCACGAGAGCTATTTTAAAATTTTCTTTTTTTGCTTTTTAAATTTTAAAAATATGAAATTTTAAAATTTTAAAAACTGTAAAATTTAATTTAAATACTAAAAACAGAAAATTTTAAAAAAAACCCTTCGTGAGGGGCTACTGAATTCGATTCTGAACAACTTTTGTGCCCAAAGTTTTGCTTTAAAATGCTTGCTTCGAGCGAAACTAGCCGTAAGGTGGGGGGAAAAAATCTTCGCTGAGCCAAAAAACCAACGATATTTTCAAGTTTTGAATTTTTTCGTCAGGCCTTCCCGGTTTGTAGAGGACATTTCGAAGTGTATGTTCGGAAGTTTTTTCGGGTTACTGAAATTATTTGGCTGAGAAAAAAATTAATTACTTAAAACAATATTGTTAAATTCTCGACTTACCAGGCTTACCGAGCGACCAAAAACGAATTCTAAAATTCCATATCCATATTGTAGCCCGTGAAATTCTCTATCAGATGAGGTATTGCTTGAATCTTTTTGGTGCGTTGCTATTTTACAAATAATACTTTATGGTAGTAGAGTAGGCTAAATTAACGTTAATTACATAGGGCGATCAAAAAGTTCTCGGAAATGTCCTCGACTCTCGCTGTTTGACGCAATGCAGGACTTTCTTTTTTATACTCGAGTAGCATGGACACTTAGCAGTTAAATTATATAATTTGGAGCTCATTGTCAGCTTTTCGTGGATTGTTCGCTCATTTTTTTCGAATGGTATATTTTCAGATGAATGCAACACCCATTCGATACTACATCTTACCAAGGCTCAAACTCGACTCCACAGTAGAGAAAATTCATACGGAGTTGTGTGATGAATACGGGCGAAGGTTAAGTGTCGTACAGCACGGGTGTCAAAGGAGGATAAAGCTATACACACGATAGATGCTCTTTAGAGGATAAACCAAGAGTTGCCAGACCAATAACCGAAGTTACTGATGAGAAAAGTTAGTGGTTTCTGCTTTGATTGAGAAAAATCTATACCCCAGCACTCGAAATATGTTGCTTATAGATAGTCGGTTATGTATCACCACTATCTGAATTATTCATCATCGATTAAAATTGAAAAAAGTTGTGTGCAAGATTTACACCACATAAACTAATCGAAAACCGAAGCGAGAGCAGATTGAAATTCATCAATAACAGGTACTAAAACATTCTCTAGGGACATGGAGCGATGGTCATGCATCATCCGCCTTACTTTTTTAATTCGATACGATCTGATTTTTGGTGATTCAGTTATTTGAAACGGCAAAAAGGGCTATCCCGTTTCCAAAATCCTTACTACAAGCTGTGACCAAGGAGACTTGTTCCATACAGCATGATGAGTGTCGAACAATATTTTAAAAAAGAGTATAGCGCTTAAAACTTTGCATGCTAGGTGAGGGCAGTCGCTAGAATTGCTTGAGATACTAAGCTTTCTTAAACTGCAGTTCATTCAATAAAAAATATAGATATTCCGAGAACTTTTTGATCACCCTATGTAGTACTAATTAGCCAATACCAGGAAGGAAAAAACAAAAATTTTTCCATATTTTCTCGTAATAAATATTCTCTACACATTTCTCTATCGATCTAGGCAAGAACCAAGCTTTTATGATGAATGGAGAATGGACAGGAACCCCTTGTTCAAAAATTTAACAATATTTTTTTAAATAATTAACTTTTTTCTCAGCCAGATAATGTCAGTAAATCGAAAAAACTTCAGGACATATACTTCGAAGTGTCCTCTACAAACTGGGAACGTTAGAGAAAAATTTAAATGCCCCCCCCCCCTTAAGATGAGATGACATCGTGTCCACTGTAGGGTATAAAAATAATTTTTAGATGTTAGAAGTTATAACAAGAGTTAATGAATTTTCTGTGACAACTTCAGCATACTCGTAGGAAATATGAAAGAGCATAACATTCACTTTCGTTTAATTAAATGTTTCCAACAATATCTACAGTCACATTTCTAATGGCCACATGTTTTGAAACCAGCGACGTCATCAAAATGTTTCCAAATGGATATATGATTTCTTCCCGTTCTAGGAGAATTAACCATTTCAATCTCATTGTCTATAGAATCCATTTATGATGAATTTGTCACTTTATTTAGCGTAGGAAAACCTCAACGTCAAAAAATCCTACTGTAAGAATCTTATAGAATCCTGTAGTCAGATCTTATGGAATCTAGCCAGATCCTATACAATATAGCATGCCCGCTCTCAACTTCGAAATTGATCAGGCATCTTTTTATATTTAGTTTTTAACGCTGAATTCGAGAAAAAGTTGTTTGAAGACTTCAAAATAATCTAGAGCTGAGAAATTGAAGGTTTTTGGAACTTGAAGGATTTTTCAAGTTTTTACATCCTTCAAATATTGTGATTTTTTGATATCGAAAAAATTTTTGAAAAATTAAAAATACATTTCTTTAATCAGCTCGATGAGCTCTATCCAACGGTGTATAATAAGTTGGAAAAATTTTTTTATTGTAAGTTTGCATTACGCGCACCTGATCAGTATTGTTTCTTGTAATATAACTCATAAAGATTATAGTAATCGTATGCACACAACAATCATTGATTTTTTATTTCAAAACCCGAAGCTTTCGATTACGATCTATAATAATCATCAGCAATAGTTTACAATAAAAAACACGACTATATATAGTTTAAGCTTTTTATTTAAAGAAATCAAAAAAAAGAAACAAGAAAAGAAGACCAAACAAGTGAAATCGTTGTCCTAAGGACTACATTGTATCTCCTGAGAGGAATCCTTAAATAGAACATCATCATAAAATAAAAATGGACGAAAAGAACAGAAAAACGTTGAACTTAGAGAAAGAAGAAAAGAACATAAAGTGAGAGCAATAAAAATAGATGAAGGAAACTGTGTCAATAGGAGAAAAACACCTAATATTGGCGTTTTAGAAACAAGGGAGTGGATCAGTTAAATCTGTAAAAGTGAAAAAGTAGAGGACGTCGTTTTCTCATTCTTATTTTTCACTTATTGTAAACTATAGCTGGTGATGATTCCAGATTGTAATCGAAAGCTTCGGGTTGACCAGCCTCAGTAGATCCACCGCCTATGTATCCAACATTTCATCAATTATGCTTCAGTGATTTTGTTTCCCTAAAGTGGTCACTTTCGATTAAATCATCAATTGTTCAGAGCTATAAAGATTTCAGACTCAGTAGCAGTTTTTCATCTGACATGTTACCAACATTTTGTCAATTATCATTCAAAACTATTTCGGATACATTAACTGTTTTCTATTCGTCAACATATGTCTAGGCTAATGTTGGTCCTCAACAATTATTTGAATATCAGACCAGATGACAAAGTGATTCATTCATATTGATAAAGATAAATTCATTTTCAAGATCATTACAACTAATACGTGGTTAGACCTGCCCTAGTCATCGATTCTTATATAAGAATCTTACTAGAAATGTCTAAGTCTCTTACCAGTGGCTTACAAGATTCTTATCGGGATCTTATCAGTTTCTTATACAGTAAAAAAAACATAAAATCAGTTTCTTAGATTTTTAGACAACTTCTTCTGAAATCCTCAAAAAGCTTTGACATTGGCAAAAATAGTGTGGATTCTAAGAGTAGACATCTTGGCCTATCCATCCATATATTTAGTTCAACATGGACGTTTAGTGAAAAAATGCATATTTCTGACAAGGAGGCTGCTATCAAACAAATGCTAAGTCTTATCGGAGCTGAATGAACTTCTTCCTGTGGAACTTTCGACAGCTATCTTCAGCATGATTATACTGTGAAAAAGAAAAATAATCTAATATCAGTTAGGAATATATATAACACATCTAAATCGTCGTACGTTCTAAAAACTTGTAGAGTGGAACAGCACAAAGACTGACAGCCTTTTCTTATTCCAGATGATAATATCATGCACAACAAAGTTACACAATATAATCAATATAAGTTATACTCGTGATGCCCTGTGACTTTTAGGACCTAAAACCGGTATTGATGTGATTGATGGTATAAGTATAAACAAACCATCTTGGATATATATAAATAAAAACTTTGCTAGAGCGAAGTGTACTTGTGTTCATTCATCTGTCAAATAAAAATTAGTTGAAAAAGATGACGGAAAAGCTTTGAAAGTAGTGTATTTTTAAAAGGTTACGATATAAATAGAAGAAAAAGACTTTTTTATTTTTCAACAAATAAAAACTCTCGATCTTTTAATAGAGTATGATGTATATAGAAACTTTACATTCTCCTCAGTCTTTTTTTATAAGAATAGTTTAAACGTTGAAGATATGTCGGTTTTTGCGGCCATAATAGCAAAAGTGTGATTTTGAATAAAAACCCCACTTTTCAATTCAGTTTCTGATGCTGATCATGAATATCGACCTGATGTGGCTTTAAAATAAGTTCACTGTTTGGAAAAATCAACTTTATTTCGAGGAATCTGACACTTTTGCCTCGTAGTTGTAATATCCAGAAAGCAATTTGATTGGTTTATTCTTCTAACATCTTTAAAGACAATAACTCATTAATAACTATGACTTCTATGAAAATAAATTATTTATTCAACTATTTATAAAAACCTGCCTGTCAGGAAAAAACCTAACATGTCTCATTAATTATAGTAAGACTGTCGTCTTTGATCACGTTTTAATATACGATTGAATGTTCGTCTAAAGTGTTTGTTACTAAGAGCATACAAAAATGGATTTATGGTTGAGTTTGCATATCCTAACCAGGTTGACATTATTATTTGACGTTGTGATACGCAATGTTCACAAAACGCTACGACCATATACAAAATGAAATATGGTAGAAAGCAACATATAAATCCAAATACTATTGCAAATAGTTGACGAAACGCTTTTTCCTCTTGATTCCACGTTGTCTGTTTAGTTGTTGTGCCAGAACGCATATTCTTCATACTTCTTGTACCATTTGTTGATGACGTTGTACTAAAACAAGTAGTTTCGCCTATCGCACAGGTGGTCACCGCAGGTATACTCGGTTTTGCAAATGAAGATGTGCGCTTTGCCTTTTTAGATGCTAATCGTATGGATGATGATGTTAGTGGCACCGGCGAATTTGGTATTTGACGTGACGCAACCGGAACAAGTGAACGGTTTCGTATTCGAGATGAATTTCTCATTTCATCTATCAGCGGGATTGGCGAATGTGATCTGATACCATTGTTATCTAAGGATGTGTTAGCTAATGGATTTGAATGAATTGTAAATGTATTTCGTTTTTCTTCTCGAATTGTACATTGACAAAGATTAAAAAGTAATTGTCGTCGACGAGTTGTCGTTGTTGTATTCGGAATACTTGAATTTCGATGACGACAAGTGAAAGACGATGTTGGATGATGCTGGCAATCACATAATGAACAACAACAACATGTGCCTATGGATCCGATATCTGACGTTGATCTAATATTAGTTTTCGTACTGCTAAACTTATTTGCCTTTTTTCTTGCACATGATGACGATAGTGGTTGTTGTCGTTTCAGTTTTGCATTATTCGAATAGATTCTACACGAATGGTAATCGTACGTATGCTTAAAACAGCGTTCATCAACGTTTAAGCCTTTTCGCATTGCAGTACGGTTTCTTATAATAAGATCGCGTGCAGGAGAATTGGTATTATCGTTATGAGTCAATATTTCTCGCGTTTTATACATGTTCGTTGAAAATGAATAATCTTGATAATCGATTTCATGATAAATATTTGATTTTTGATGATGTAAATTGGCATTTCGATCACAACGTTCCTACAATTGTACATATTTCATTATTAGATAAATTTAACTTCCTTTTTACACAAAATCGTACCTTTGACTTCTGATTTGTCGTCGCTGAATCCTTTTTTGATGAATATTTCATTGGCGTATGAATGATTGTACTAGTTGTTGTCTTTTTTGTTGATGTTACCGACGACGGATTTTGTTTTAACATCAGTTGCATATTTCGTTTTTTTGTAAAATTAATCCTTATAATACTATTATCACTTATATCACTATCATTGTTACTGTCACAAGTATCCGTCATATGATATCGTTTTATTGAAGATACTGTATTCAGTTTGTTTTTTAAGAGACTATCATTTTCGGTTAAATTCATTGTATATAATTGTCTGTTACTCTCCGAACATTTTGAAATATCTGTTCGATCATTATTATTCTGATTATTTGTATTACCGGCATTCACAGATCGTTTTGTATAGCAACTATTGTTATTTAATAGAGCATTTTTATATCTTCGCTTAATTTCATAATAGATTCGGCAGTTCAATGACATCATGACAAAAAGAGGAAGATAAAAGTTAATGATTGCTGTTGATACTTTGAATATCTTACTATGAGTGTATTCAGGATCACATTGATTCTTCTAAAACCATCAATATAAATAAAATTTTTATCTTGCTAAATACTGTTTCAGAGCATACACAAATACGTAAAGGAATGGATACGAATATAACTGACATAAAAACTTTATCTTTTTGAATGTCAAGAGAAAAAACATTTTTTGCTAGAACAGGCGGACATGTGGTCTGAAAGCAATCCGAACTTCTACGAAAAATTTTCCTTAGAGGTTTTCGGGTGTGCTATTTCTAAAAAACTAGTTTTCAAAGTTAAAAGATGATTTTTAAGGAGTTTTCTGGAGATCCGGCCTCTGGAAATCCTCTTAAAAACCGTTTTGGAGCTTTGTAAAGCTCCTTTTTGGAATTAGCATACACGAAAACCTACAGAAAAAATTTTTATAGACCTCTCGGCTGCTGTTAAAATACATTTTTTTAGGTCAATTAAAAGTTTTCATCGCTACAGCTTTTCACAGGCAAGATTTTGACACAATCCAAATATATCAGCAGAAAATTTTTGACTCATACATCATTCGACTCAGTTTTTCACGCTGATTCTTAATATGTATATTTTATATAGAAAAAACATGATCTTAGGATGCAGAAAGCTTGTTTTATCCTCAAAAAGCGAGAGGTTTTGAAAAATCTGTCTAGGCTCCAGTCAAAGTTAGGCGACTAAAGGCTAATACCATAAATACATGAGATTACGGAGCTCATTGTGGTAAAAGATGAAGGTTTTATGAGCTTGGAAAACTTCGGAAAACTCTTGGTACTAAGCAAACCTTTTGGGAAAAGAGCTTTTTTCAGAAAAACGTTTAAATTATTTTAGCTCGAATGCGGAAGGAAATTTTTTTTTATAACAGTAGATAGCCCAAATTCTGCTGATTCCGAATATGTCCTTAGATTGAGATTAAAACTAAATCTACGCTGAGAAAATTGACTTTTTTCAAATAGTTAGCAAATTATAGAGAGAATTTTTCATCTAACTTTTTTCCATGAAGAAACAACTTCAGACAAAAAATTTTTTTGCCATTAGATACCCCATTAGTTGAAGTATATACGACGATCTTCAAATCAAGAAAAAGTAAACTTCGCCTTTTTGACCAAATTTCCGCCTGGATGCCCACTATGCCTTATATGCTCCACATGACCTCACTCTTTTTTCTTCTTTTGAAATCTCAGTTGCATTTTCAATGTGACTTTCGGCTTAACAACATTCCTTTGTATACATCTAACTCTAAGAAATATAAAGTGGTGGCAAAAAGTTTAACAACAAACTTGTTTTTGTTCTTTCTCGTGAATCCTAGTAGCTACAATAAATCTGACGATAGGTTCATACAGCGCTGACTTGGATGTGTGTATATATATTATTCAAAAAATTTCAATTTGACTTTAACCTGTTAGAAAAAAGGTTTTCTCAGAAATCCACGATCTTCAAAAATCCTACTTTTTTAAAACCCAATGCAAACATTTGTTTTATTATTTCGTAAGATAGAGCAAAGTCTTCTCTTCAAAATGAGACCTTCCGCAGTTCTCCACAACAGTTTTTCATTGAGTTATGACTTTTACACGAAAA